GACCCCTTTGTTGAATTTGTATAAAAAGGGGTTTTTGTTATAGGTAATATATTTTTAAAGAAAAAGAGGATAAAAAAAGTATAAAAGATATGTGTAGGCAAAATGACAGGTTTTTTGGATTATGATTGGAGATAAAAGAGTTGAGTGATTCAGGATTACTGTTTATAGAGGGGGCCACAGATATATCAACACTTTTTAGTTGTATTTACATAAAAGGAAAAAAGGTAGATGGGATAAAGGGGAAAATAGAAGCATCAGGGAAGGGGGTGAATTTTTACAAACTAAAAGAGGAGGCTTTAGGGAAGATATAAACAGCTTGTTAGAGTGTTCGCAGAATTTTGGGGTTACGGGAAAGGGGGTGCGGGGGGGAAGAGGGATTGGTGGAATGTGATGTAAAGGGTAAAGGGAAAAAGTTGCATATGAAAAGTTTTTACAAAGTAGAATGATGCAAGGGGGAAGAGTATATGGAAAAAAAGAGAGAGGAAAGAAGGTGGTGGAGAAATTTAAAAAGAGGCAAATGAGGAGTGGGTGGATGTTTCAAAAATTTTTTGTTGAAAGTAAAAAAAAAGTTTTGGAGTGAGATTAAAAATTTAAAGAAAGCCTAGAGAATAAATGGATTTTCATTTAAAAAGGGAGGGAGTTATTAAATGAGATTTGGGAGGATTGGAAATGGAGGGAAATATTTTGAGGAATTGTTAAATGTTATGATGAGGGGAGGTTTTGGATTTCGTGTTGGGCAAGGAGGAATAACATCTTGTGGGAGTGAGGAAGAGCCATTTGTGGTGTGGGGGAAGTTCGTGAGGTGGTAGGTAAAATGAAAGGGGGAAAGGCACCCGGGATTGATGGGATAAAGAAGAAATGTTAAAAAAAAGGTGGGGATATAGTTTTGGAGTGGTTGGTTTTTCAAATATTTAATAAAAGTATGGAAAAAGGGTAAGGTACCTAGGGGTTGGGAGGAGCATGCATAGTTCTTTGTATAAAAGGCAAAGGGACAAAAGAAGTGCAAAAATTATGGGGGGTAAGTCTGTTGAGTTCCTGGTAAAGTGTATGGTAGAGTTATTATTGAAAGAATTAAGAGCAAGACAGAGAATAGGATAGCAGATGAACAAGAAGGCTTTAGGAAGGTAGGGGGTGTGTGGATCAGGTGTTTACAGTGAAACATATAAGTGAACAGTATTAGATAAGGCTAAAGAGGTTCTTTGTGGCATTTATGGATTTGGAAAAGGCGTATGACAGGGTGGATAGGGGGGCAATGTGGCAGATGTTGCAGGTGTATGGTGTAGGAGGTAGGTTACTGAAAGCAGTGATGAGTTTTTACGAGGATAGTGAGGCTCAAGTTAGAGTGTGTAGGAAAGAGGGAAATTATTTCCCAGTAAAAGTAGGCCTTAGACAAGGATGTGTGATGTCACCGTGGTTGTTTAATATATTTATAGATGGGGTTGTGAGAGAAGTAAATGCGAGGGTCTTGACAAGAGGCGTGGAGTTAAAAGATAAAGAATCACACATAAGTGGGAGTTGTCACAGTTGCTCTTTGCTGATGACACTGTGCTCTTGGGAGATTTGAAGAGAAGTTGCAGAGATTGGTGGATGAATTTGGTAGGGTGTGCAAAAGAAGAAAATTAAAAGTGAATACAGGAAAGAGTAAGGTTATGAGGATAACAAAAGGATTAGGTGATGAAAGACTGCATATCACATTGGAGGGAGAGAGTATGGAGGAGGTGAATGTATTCAGATATTTGGGAGTGGACGTGTCAGCGGATGGGTCTATGAAGGATGAGGTGAATCATAGAATTGATGAGGGGAAAAGGGTGAGTGGTGCACTAGGAGTCTGTGGAGACAAAGAACTTTGTCCTTGGAGGCAAAGAGAGGAATGTATGAGAGTATAGTTTTACCAACGCTCTTATATGGGTGTGAAGCATGGGTGATGAATGTTGCAGCGAGGAGAAGGCTGGAGGCAGTGGAGATGTCATGTCTGAGGGCAATGTGTGGTGTGAATATAATGCAGAGAATTCGTAGTTTGGAAGTTAGGAGGAGGTGTGGGATTACCAAAACTGTTGTCCAGAGGGCTGAGGAAGGGTTGTTGAGGTGGTTCGGACATGTAGAGAGAATGGAGCGAGACAGAATGACTTCAAGAGTGTATCAGTCTGTAGTGGAAGGAAGGCGGGGTAGGGTCGGCCTAGGAAAGGTGGAGGGAGGGGGTAAAGGAGGTTTTGTGTGTGAGGGGCTTGGACTTCCAGCAGGCGTGCGTGAGCGTGTTTGATAGGAGTGAATGGAGACAAATGGTTTTTAATACTTGATGTGCTGTTGGAGTGTGAGGAAAGTAACATTTATGAAGGGGTTCAGGGAAACCGGCAGGCCGGACTTGAGTTCTGGAGATGGGAAGTACAGTGCCTGCACTCTGAAGGAGGGGTGTTAATGTTGCAGTTTAAAAACTGTAGTGTAAAGCAACCCTTCTGGCAAGACAGTGATGGAGTGAATGATGGTGAAAGTTTTTTTTTTCGGGCCACTCTGCCTTGGTGGGGAATCGGCCAGTGTGATAATAATAATAATAAAATATATATATAATATATATATATATATATATATATATATATATATATATTATATATATATATATATTTATATATATATATATATATATATATATATATATAAATTAGGCTCTAAGAGTTACTCATCTCTTAACTTTACATTTTAAGGTATATATTTTTTTTTTTCAGGGGCGAGAAAGGGTGTCAGCAATTATGTTAAGAGTTCCACTTAAGTGTTGAATACTAATGAGATAAGTTTGGATCCTCAGAGCCCACCTGAGGATCCGGGTGTTCTTTGATTTCATAGAATTAATATAAATTAAAGAGTTGTGATCGGAAAATACCATAATTTTGTGGGGGGAGGTTCCCAGATAACGTCAAAATATTCCAAAGGATATTTACTAGTGCAAGAGCTTCTTTTCTACAGTGGCGTAATTCTT